AAAAGGACTCAAAGTGCACGTGAAACACAAGCATGACAAGACTCGTTCTTTTTCTTCCAGCTTTTTAATGTGACGGAGAGAACAAAAACAAAGTCCATTGGAACAGCTGCAATTTCCAGTGACAACAAGACACAGATCAAATAAAAAAAAAAAAAAAGAAGAAAGGTTTCAAAGAAGGAAAGGAACCAAGGGACAGGAATTTGCTATTTCACACACAGAGTCGACAGAACATCTAAATGAAACGTTTCATTAAACGCACGACACTGGGTGTTATTTACAGTGGAACTTGCAGTGTGTGTACATTTATACAGCACTAGCATCACATACAGCAAAGAAATTTCTTTCATTTTGTTTCCTTCACAGTTCTTGGGCTTGATTCTTCCTAAAAGCAGCATCTGCTAATACGAGGGTGAGAAACTGAGGGAGAAACTTGATGGAAATATAATGTAGGGGGCTCAAATCTACATAAACCTAAAAATATACTCTCCAGTTTTGTGTGTCCTTTGGCAAGTCAAAGGACATGAGCAGGGAACATAAATGGACCTGGGTCCTCCTTAACAGTATCTGTTGTTGGAGGCCTCAAAGCAGGACCTGGAAGAGACCTGCATGTCTGCAGAAAGCTCAGCTCCATGAGCCTTGCTCTGTGCCCCTGTGTAATCCCAACCTCGGAGCTGGACCGCTCCCAGACTCAGGGATTATCCCTTAGTGCACCTCTCCAGCATCACCGAAGGACATCAGGCTGCCCGACCACTCCCCAGTGTGCAGAACATCTGGCTCTGGATATGGGTTTTCTCAGTCCAAAAGTTCCATACACCACGGTTTGTAAGTCACATTGCATTTCAAAGGGATGAGGAACATATGGACAAGGAGGGCGTCACTCCATCCAGCCCCAAGCTGCAGCCACCCCCAGCAGGATGTAGCAGAGCCAAAGGCAGTAGCAGGAGCTGTTCTGCACAACTGAAGCAAAAGAACAGGCATACGACAACTAGTTAAATCAACAGGGAATATAAGGAGGCAGAACTCTTATTGTAGTAACACTAGTCTTTTGTGATTCTATCAACAGTGCTCTAAAAGTCTGTTTCTGCATGCTCAGAAGCTCAGTAATGAACTCCTCCTGTGACCTGCATTACACTGCTGTACAGATAAAGACACTAAGTCACAGCAGGCCAGTTTGAGTTCCCTAGAACCACCTTTCCCATGCCACAAATTTCCTGGCTAAGTGGCTGGACTGGTGTGCCACGCACGCGTGAAGAGGTCCAGCTGTCCTCTAGAAGATGTCTTTGGGATTTAAGGCAAGTCCCTTGTCTCAGTCCTATGTGCCCCTGTTGCAGTAAAGTTCATGAATCCAAAGAAACAGTGCTCTGCAGGGATCGTCAGTGGACCTGTGGTCAGCAGTTGTCCTCTTCTCTGTGGATGGTCCAGTGTATCAAAACTCCAAGACAAGGAGACAGTTCACTGTGGCAAACGCAGGCAGGGGGAACCACTGCAGGAGGCATGCTGGCCCTCGCACTGCAGATGTAATGCTGATTCTACAGTAGAAATAAAGCTGAGCCATCAGAGGAGGTGCCTAATGAGAAAGTGCCTCCTGCACGGTGCTCCAGGGCTCTGTGGCTTGGGCTCAGCCTAGCAGGTAGCCCATGGCTTGACACTGAGGCCCAAATCAAAACACAGCTAATGCTGAAGAGACTGCACCCGCCAACCATTTTGCTCTGGAGTGCAGTAGTGTGAAGCCTACATTGCTTTACAGCATGACAAGGACAACAAACAGACACCAGGAGTAGCGGCTAAGCCTTGTTCACACCGAGGTCGGGTGGGAGATGTCAGCCCAAGTGTCACAAAGGCAAATGCTTGAGCTGGAGCCGTTACCCTGGATTTCTCTATTATGGAAGTGGAGGAGCAGTGCTATCCAGGGCAAGCCATCTTCTTCTTGGCCTGGTGCCTGAGCGTGGTCACATATAGTGCCTATGCCTTTCAACAGAGAATAATGGGAACCCAGGGCAATGAGTTCAGATCCAGACATCTCACTCGTAGGTGTCTCAGGCTAGGTGATACGGTTTCCCCTTGGCTTTTCCTTTCTTCCTTCTCTGTTCATTGTTGTCCTTTCCCAGGCCCTTGTGCACCAGCTGCAGTGTGTGTCTGCCCTTCCCTATTAGGTCGTGAACTCCCTGGCCAAGTCAGGGATAGGAGCCTTGTCACGACACACATGCCCTAGCCCTCAGGTGACTGACCAATGCATTCGAGGCGTGCAAAGACTCCCTACAATCACGAGGGTAGCCCAGGTGACATTGACAACATGATCCTAGTGCTCTTCACCTTGTCACAGCTAATCTCTCAAAGGTGAAGTTTAGCAGCCTGTGAAAGAGCCATTCTGTAAGGAAGAAAGGGTTCTAAGATTGGATAATATTTCTTAATATTACCTTGCCATTTCTATCTCCTCAAGACCTCAATTTCTTCCTTCTCTGAAAATTAAAAGAGAAGTTTTGCAAAATAAATTATGTCATTAGTGTCCCTGTACAATGTCAATGGAGAACAGAAACAGGTTTGCTGTCAGAGCATTGATGATATGTAAAGAAGAGTGCTTTGTACAATAAACAGAGAGAAGTTCTGGATCCACAGAGCAGCACAACAGAATAGTCCAGAAAAACGAAACAAAAATTTTTTCCCTCCAATTACAGTGTGGTAATTATAATGCACAGCCCAATAAAATGGGTGAAACATAAAGACCATGGTGATCTTTTGTGTTGAAATACATATTTAGCTGCTTCTCACCATGCGAAAGGACCAGACATTCTTACAGAAAAAAACCCGAACACATTCTGGGCTGTGATTGTCAACAGAAGCTCTGAACTGCTGCCAAAGGACATAATTACATTCACTCCTACCTTAGAGAAGGAACCTTGCTGTTTTGAGGACAAAGCAAAAAAAGGCCCTAAGCTACCCATAAAATGAAGAAATGAGGCATAATAAGCTCGGTTATTATAGCAGCTTGTGATTTTATCGATTTCATAAACCTCAGAATAAATGTCAAAAACCCCAAACAGCCCATCGTAGCCTAGCTGCTCCCTAAGTGCGTATCCCTGATTGACACAATGTCAAAACTGGTGCTTGGTGGAGGGGTTTGCCTCACCGGCAAGGATTTGCTTCTCGTGAGCTAACCACACTCCATGTCCTGCAGCGGTTCTCTGCAGCAGCACCGACACCAACTTCCCACAGTTGCGTGGGGCTGGCCCTGCTGTCAGCTCTTAGTGTATTTGACTGTCTCTGTGCAGCTGAAGGCAGGGGTGTTAGACTTCAGTCCTGCTGGATTTCAGCCTAGCCCTGTGTGTTTTTCTTAAAAAAAAAAAAAAAAAAAAAAGGAAAGAAAAGAAAAAAAAAGAAGGATCCAAAGAAAGGTAAAGGTAAATAGGAATATCATTAGCAAAAGTGAGGAAGAATTTTTTATGCCACAAAATATCCTGGTGAGACAAATTCCCTGCATTATGTGACAGTTTCTAATCAATTCTGGTCTATTGCTGAGCTTGTTGAAAGGGTCTAATTAGCACTATCTAGTCACTTGTGAGCATTGGTGTGTTATTTAACAGTGTGTGTTTAATTCTTACTTCCCAAGAAAATATACCCCAAAATACACAACTCAGTTTGCTTCTAGGTGCAACAGGACTTCAATTGTACCATAAAAAGGGCATATGAATTTCAAAAATGGTCTTTACAGGATATCAAACTTAACTGCTCCACTTAATGGAGAATTTAATGTTCTGTACAGTGAAAGCTTGCTGTGTGCATTCCCTGTGTAACAAGTTAAATGGCTTTAAGTAACTGTGCTTACAGTGTTTCAGTGAGACCCAAGTATAAGAAAATCAAACATCATATTCTTTAGATAATATGGCTAAAATGCTGGTAAATTCACAGTTACCGTACTCTAGATATTAGACAAAAAGTCCCCTATTTACACTGGATAATATGTACACATTTGGTTTGTGGAATGCTCCAACATCCTATCAATTTCTCCCCTGTGAATGTTGTAGGAAAAAAAAATCTTCATCATCATAGAAATATATATTCCCAGCCATCAATACATTTAAATATTTCGTGTCTGGATGCAAAGAATTAAGCGTCACTAAGTTGGTAATGACTCCAGATAATCTTGAATTAGTGGGATTAGTTTTTAGTACCTCTCTTAAAATCTTGGGTGCAGAAATTAAAAATTATAAAATTTCAATAGCTGATCACTTCAATGTGTGTACGTATGTTTGCAAGTATTTGTAAATACATATACATACATATAAAATTATGTATATAGTTCTCTCCCAGACCAAGAAGGTGCCTAGTGATTCTCTATGCCCAAGTGAAGAGAGTAAAGGGCTTTGAAACCCTAATTCTTCAGAGAGTGCCAAGCACCCACCCTCATACCCTCAAGAAATCAGGACTCTCTCACTCTTTCAGGCGGTTCAGGCGTTAACCCCAAAATCAAGACAGCTAGGGTCACTAGTCACACATGTAGCTCTTGTCCCTGTTGCTGGATCTCACCTACAGTAGGTTTGTACCCGCCTCCCCTCCGGATGCCTCTCGTGTCTGAGCACAGCGGATACGAATTGCCAAGGAGTGCTGGGCGAGGCAGGCGGTATCTCACAGCTTGGCAAAGGCGTAAGGGGGTCGGGATTTGTTCTCCCATCGGACACGCTCACACCCACGCAGGCACACACATGCACGAAGCCGCTGTTCGCGTCCTGTGTCATTACACTGGGATGGAGAGGGAAAGGGTGGACTCCCAGTGTAG